ATTTTCAGTAAACTCTTTAGCCTTGTTTTCATTTCACTTTTTGAAAAGTTTTCATCAAAAGTTTAATCTTAAAAATTAGAGTTGTGGTGCAGAACTTCTTTTAACAGCTAGTGCGTTATGATGTTTGTAGTGATCTTTTTTTCCCAGTTCATATCTTTAAAACGTAGCAATTATCTCCCATGTTTATCATTATAAAGAACAAATCCCCTTAAGACTAAATCGCAGTTAAAAACTTTTTTACTCTCGACAGTGCTTCGTATACTTATTAGCCGATTACACATATATATCACGCACAGTTACCTAAACTTAGTCGGCTTCTATCAAGCATTTATCAATTTTTACTTTGTATATTTTGGCAACCAGTTAGCCACTATTCAACTACGAATTTTTATACATTTTTTGTTTGGATGGATTTGTTTTGTTCCTTTACCTATTCGTAGTTAAATATGAAAAGAATAATTTCCTGTTCGAAAAAATCATCTATCAACAATTGAATTGGATTTACCTTTTATAATTTTAAGAGACTTTTTATTATTTGACATAATTAAACATTTTGATAGATGCAAATGAATACACTAATGGGATAAAATCGAACTAAATTAGGTCGTCGATCGAGAAATGGTTCAGACCGGTTAACGCTATTACGAACCGTAAATAAAATCATTTTCAAATCACATCTTGCATTGTGGACAGTCATTCAGTTCGTTTTTCAGCCCTAAAAGCTATGTTTAAGATAAGATGTATTTTATAGTTTCTAGTAGAATTAACTTGAGGCACGACATACTTCACAGCGTACTTGTACCTATATAAATATGGATATACATTTACTTAATGCATTTCCAATTATAAAGATCCATTAGAAGCAAAGCAATGATTAAAATGAATGCTTTTACATTAATAAAAAAATGTATGTATATTATAGCCGATAAGCACGCGAAGCAAGTATGTACATATTTATGATTTACACTTGTTTTAAATCACTTATAACGCACATATTCTTCTTGTATGGAAAAGCTGCTTTATATATTTATGGTTTGATAGTAAAAAAATATTTACCATCAAAATTAAAATTAATTTTTTTATTAATCTTAATGAATATCAATAAACTGTTGGATGTAACAAACATGTCTTCGAATGACGAAAATCGTTGGCTAAATAATTTGTTTTAGAACTTATAGTCATAAGCATAAAACTGTCCCGCTTTTGACCTATTAATTCGATGTTTTGACCAGCAAAAAATGAGTGGCTACAGCTAATGGTTGGGAGCCCGCATTGCCATGATGCAAAGAAATACTTCTTCATTGAATTTAGCCGAAGGCTTCAGCCAAGCAAATGGTTATAATACGTCGTGCTTTTTTTATTTATATAGAGGATTATTGTTGTGTCTTAGTGTTGTATGCATAAATTAATGATTCGTCATCTGTTTAGATGTTATATACAGAATTTGACTCACCCTGATCGTGTTTTCCCAACATTTGCTTTTACCAATTCATACAAGCCTTTTTTGGGCGTTGACTATGTTGGGCGCAACACGAACAACAATTTTTACGGTTAAATGATCTTAAAACATCGTACTGAAGCGGGTTTAACTAATGCTTGGAGGTGTCTCAAGTTCACTGCCACATGGCGATTTTCTTTTTTTTATCAGATTACGAAAAGGATCGATCTATTCTGGTACAACTACAGATTTTGGACCAAATTTAAAGAGTGTTTTGTAAAACAACCCTGGCCACGATTGGATTTTTCGACCATTTGTTAACGGTGCTGTAAGCTGGAGCTTTTTAATGATCCATGCCAAAGGATATCAATAAAGATCGCAAAATCAGCGTTGAGTAATTGAATCAGATTTCTTGATTTCTCGAAGTAACGGATTTTCTTTAAATATCTTGTAAACATTAAAAAGTGAAAAATTCATATTTGATCGGCGTTATGCACATATACTTGAGAATAATATTATTATTATTTATTTGAGATTATTATTATATTATAATTTATTAATATGTATTTGAGACTAGTATTTGAAAATTAGGACTAATTTTCAAACTTCAAAAAAATCAAACTACAAATTTGGAACATCTTGTATAAAACGTTCTTACGCGAAACCGAGAGCACTTTAAAATAATAACCGCCGTGTCCCAGTATAATTCCAAAAAAAACTGTATTTGCGTTACTAAATGTATTCCAATTTACGCGTACTTCATAAATAAACTAAAACCCCATTTTGTTAATACTTTATTACAACTCGAAGCTACTTTAATGCAGCGTCGTCTTATTTTTAAAAAATGTAGTTTTTAATTGTCAGTTGGTTATACTATCAATTCCATATAATGTCCATACAATGTGTATTTATGAATATATGCAATAATATTTTTAAATAAGGATTTCGGTCGCACATTCAACAGCAGTAGGTAATTTCGTGTGCTAAGTAACGGGGAAACTTGTTCGAAAAGTTCGGTTTCCTTGGCAAATCCGCTGTAAAGCTCACTGGATAATCGCAAGTGAACTCATTGAAACGTTAACAACGTCTTATTTAAAAAAGACTCCTGGCCTCTATTCTCAGATGTATTGATTCATCTCTTTGAACGGCAGAATTTACAAAAAAATGTACAATTACACACTCGGGTTTTTGATATCCAGCAAGCGCTTCAATACACAGCTTTTAGGACCAAACAAAGAAATAGTTAAGAAAAGTTGTTTAAAATTTAACTGCCTTTGTTTTAATAATAATGCTTTGGTTTTTTTATTGAGAAAATATGAGCAGACTGTCTTTTGTTGATGGTTTTTCCATAATTTTTGCTTAGAATTCCAGCGATTTTTTGTAAATTGAATTCCCAAACCTTGAATAGGTTTATTATTATATTTAAGATAAAGAAACCGTCTACATGAACTAGCCTGTCTAGGCATATAATGCGTCCAAAGAACATTGCTTTCCTTGTCAACAGATTTCAAACGCAAACAAAAATATTTTTTTACATGGTATTTGAAAGGCCGTTAGAAATTGTCTATTTTAAGTATTTGTAACTTTGCCTGACATCTGCTACGAATTGATCAGCTACGAATCTGCATTTTTCAATAAAGAAAATCATCAAAATCTCCATGGAAATTGTTTCAGAACTAGGCGATATTACGTTTCTGAGCCACGTCCTACGGATTCTGAGATTTATGTACTAAGTACTAGACCAACTACGCCTAGACTTATGTCCTACTTCCCTAACTGTCTGACTGATTTATTCAATTTTGATATCTTTTATTATGTGGAAAATTGAAGTTGCTGGTAACAACACATGTTTAAGAAAAATGTCATGTTTCGGATAAAATGTCGCGACTTCCATGCATATATCTACATTGTAAAAAAACATTCATCCTAATAAAACCGTTTCTCAATGTGAACTAATGCATTTACGACTACTTGCAATAGAATAAAGTATTCCAACCCGCTTGTTTAAAGTTGCAGGGAGCTGGTGGAATCGACAAATCCGAAAATACAGCTGATACATTTTGAATAAGGTTTTTGTGAGAAAAATGGAAAAATTGCCCGCAAGGTGAAGAACGTCTCATAAATATCGGTCGATTAATTTGAATTCGAATAAACCGAGGTCAAACATTAATGTCCCGATGCCATTGGCTATGAATATCGTCTCATCCACCAATTATTATTTGCCCAATAACGGCAATTTTACTGCTTGACATAGACTATAAATGTTGATTCGCCAGAAAATTATGTTTTCTGTGTTAACTACATTTATATTACGAACATTATCTGTTCCGGGCGATTTCTGTCTACTGAGTCTCTTTCCTAACATGGCTATAAAGCGTGTTTTAGGACTCCCTGTATACGCAATTTGAATTTAAAAACAGTTATAAAATAATCTGAGGTTATTCGAGAGAATCTAGGGTTATATTTCACTTTCAATTTTATTATTTTGTATATTATTGGGGGATATATTTAACTGCTGATTGCAATCATTACAGTACTGCAGAATGTAGATACCACCGAACTTCTTCACTTTCAAAAACTTACCTCAACATTTCTTTGCTTTGCTTAGAAAAATTAATGTTTTAATATGCATAGCTGAATGTCTAATAGGAACGTTTTGGGATGAAAATTTACAAATTTTACCAAAACACGAGAAATTTATAGCAGTTCAACTATTACTGGATATACTGGAGTACCGTCAAAATTTCTCGATGAAGGAAAATCTGACCGAAAGTTTTAAATACATTTTTATGACCTGTTACTGTTTGCTTCTATAAAATTTAAAAAAATCTTAATGGTTGCTTGTTAGTACTGTCCTCAGTATATATTCGTTAACTTTCTCCTTCTCACAACAGTCAGCTTGTTTGCAATAACAATACCGTGGTTTCCCGACTCTATTGTGTGGAAGCTTCCTCCGATCTGGAGTCTCCCAATGGAGAATAACTTAATACACTTTCGACATTATTACACATTTTACGACTCCCAGCATCATTTAGAAGCTAACCACTAATACACAATACAATAAATTTGTGCCTAGGTGCATTCTTGCTTGTCTGCCAACTGAGCATTGAACTGGCTTAAAAGTTTGATGAATATTAAAGGCGAAGTTGCATTTTCAAGAGCTATATATTTCAGAAATGTTAAAAGTTTGAAACGGCCGAAAGAAGTGTCATAAATATTGAATTACTCTATATTTAGAATACAAACTAAGTACTTCTGGACCCAAGCATCATTAAAATATAGCACAAAAGCTCTTACACTGGTTAAAATAGAAACTTTGAAAAACCCTAATCCTAAAAGTTAGGATTGCTGCAAGAATATCCAAGTATAACAAAATAAAAACCGATAAAAATATGTGAATGAGATAATATATAATATTTGCAACTGAAGACCATTTGTCCAAACAAGTCACTGTAGGAATCGAGGCCATATTAAGTATTCTCGATTCCCATATATGATTTAATATACATGACATCGTATTGCTTGAAATTGGATCGAATGCAAAAACAATAAATGTACTTACCTAATGCATAATGATATTGCTGTTCTACTACAGAATGCAAAAACTGTTTAACTTTTTTCTTGGAAGTATCAGGCATTTTTTGCATACAGTCGTAAATCAAATTTAATGTTTCGGTTGATTCTGCTTTCCATTCATCAAATGCCATGTCTCTGCAAGAAATGTTACAAAAATGTAATTATTTCTTTAATGAATTTATATTGAGATGATATTGAAATGAGCGAACTGACACACTAACTTTTTAGAACAGACGTTCAATAACTGTTTAGAAGCAGGAAAACTGTAAGATATATTGATCGAAATTTTCTAACTAATATAGCTAGTTAGTGCAGACGAGTTTCTTTCCACAAACCTGTAACTACCTCGAGTCGAAGGTGTATTGTATTTAATAGATAAAGTACGTATCTTCTGTTCAAACGAAGTTCTAATGTAGATAAATTACTGTGCTTTTGTTTCGTAACTACTAGCACCTAACGGTGATTCCTTTTGTGCACCCGACAAGCATCCTTTTGTTCGGAAAATTGAGGATTTTGAATTAAACCGAAAATATGTATCTAGAAGCATCCATGGGGTTACTTCCCGCATTTAATGATCATAAGAATTATCTATGATGAATTTTCTAATTGTAAAGATAATAAACAAAACCCCTTATTTTCTTTACCTGTTGTCGTTTAGCACAAGATCGTCGTTCACTTTACTGTATAGCCTTTCCAATATTGCACAGTTCTTTCCCAATTCTTGAGCGGCAGCTGCCAGAGCCAGATATGTGTCTTTATCAATTTTTTCTGGCAAAATTAGAGGTCCGTATTTGTCTCCTAATAAGTTCTAAAAGAAAACATTTAATTTTTATAATCAATGGGCTTTATCTTCGAGAGTTATATTTGCATAAAAAATGTTTAAAGGATTCTAAATAAAACGCAATGTCTTTAATAAAAAAACCGTACATTTCCTTTAAAAAGGGGCAGATTAAAAACGTGGCGTTAAGTTATTCCGAACGTGAATGGGGGAACCGAACAGCAGCGATATTATTGATTATCAAATTAACTAATTGTATGTGCTTCCAAATCAAACTGTTTAAAGTATAAGTAATTTATCTATAATAAGTTCGTTGCCAAAAATTAACATATAATGAAATCATTAGAGAAATTAATTAAATATCTCTATTCAACACCCTCACCTACTTACCAAAAAGAAACACCCTTTCGATATCTTGTGGCAATTTCTTATTTCATGTAAATGATCTTTGAGTATCCATGGATCGTGATATTCCTTCTCATCAGATCCATAATGCATATCAACCAATTCGACCTATAATTGTCATAGTTTTGAGTAAATTTTCCTATTGTATAGTGTAAAGGTAATTCTACCTCAATTTTATGATCCTCGAAAACCGAATGCAATTCAGGTCCAATAGTTTCCAATAAAATACGTCGCTCTATAGCAAAATCTGTAACATGAAAAGTGATACAGGAGTTAATAGATAAATCAAATGTTATATGAAGGTGGCCGATAATATATTTTGTGAATGAAACTGCCACAAAATGCCCAACAATAAAAATGATAAGTTTCGGGATGTAATGCCCCATTCTCATCACATAATTTATGAATCAGAAGATATATGTGTATGTTTCCGAAAAAGGCGTATTTCTTTATTAAACTCCACTATTCAGCTGTCGTGTCATCTTTAATCATCTGATTTTCCTACCTGAACTATTTGTAAATAAAAATATTTGCTTCAACGGGAGGCTTGTAACATTTGGTGTTAAATTATGGCTTTTCTCTCGTGGTTTCATGTTAATATTACAGCATTGTCTGATGGTGTAGTTGAAATACAACTGACCCTCGTTCAGTACACATTTTCTAATGAACAAAATTCGGTTTCTAATAGATAATCTGTTAAATTGTGTCGACTAACAATACTCATCAATTATTCAGACACGCTTCAAAAACACATGCAAAAATGCGCCAGACAAGCTCAATGCTCCACAATTTAATTATATCTGAATACATACTCGTTACTGATTGTTATTCATATATGTTCAAGTCTTGTATGTTCCTTTTCATACAATTGTTCGAGATATAAGCAGCTTTATAATTATTTCTGATTTACGCTCTATTAGGAAGGGAAACAGAATGCTCTTAAAATAGTATTTAACAACGTTATGATGAATACGACCGCTTTTCTCCAAGTTACCATTTGAATAGTTAGATGATATCCAGGAACTGCGCTGCCTCACATTTTTTTTAATTATCTTAGAAACTGCATCTGGATTTAAAATTTTTATTGTGTTAATTTATTCAAATGCTAAACTTAAAATTAATTTAAACTCATTTTTAATATTGCCTTTGTCTTTCTAAAAGTACTTGTTTTTTCCTACGAAGAGAATGGGTTAAAATACATTTTTGCTACATTAAATGTGTATCCCTCTGAGTCTCAGTTAATACACAAAAGTGCTCAAATATATAAATGTGCGAGCATAAAAATAAAAACTGACTTTCGGTAATATCAACTAATCGCTTGTATAAATTATATTTAGTAAGATATAAATATAAAAATATTATATTTATGAAAATATTAAATAGGCTGTATGCCGCACTACTTATCAAGACAAACAAAAACAAAGGAAATGCATTTAACCGTCCAGAATTTGCGCACACGGGAAAGGCAGGTGGTAAAAAGAATATTTCACTACCAAATTGTGATAGAGCGAAGTTTTAAATAAAACTTTTAATATTTTCTTAAAGATTATATCAAGTCCAACTGCTCGTTCCCTCGAGAAGAAAAGTCCCAAAAGGAGTCTTAGTCTTAAAAGTGAATACGTTCTGAAAAGGGAAGTCGGAGAACCGACTTTGAATGGCCATCCATCAACTAGCCAGCTATGAGCTACGTAGAAACTGGCTTACAGTGTGGCATAAGTTGAAAGAATTTAGGAAGGGAAAAGAATGATTGTTAATTAGATTGACATATTTTCACTTGGATGAGAGGGCAGTTGAGTAAGACGTTTTTTCTTCAAAATTGCTGGAAACGATGCACAATGTACAAACAACTACAAGCAGTTAAAAACAAAAGAGAAACTGTTAATGAGCAGTTGAGGAAATGAGGAAAGGCAAACCTTAAATAAACGAAACTGTTGGATGCTATATCAAAGCAAGACGCTAAACTAACATCGCGATGTAAAGCAAATTTGTAAACATGCAGTGAAATCAAATTGTATTATAACAATACTGAATTATTTACGAGATAAAATGCTGAGAATTATAATATATATTGGGAAAGTAACTATCATTGACTAAATATACTCAATGATAATGAAATCCACAGAGAAATGTAGACTAATTTTATATTTATGTTAATATTACAAACTGAACTCCGTTTTCGAACGTTCAGTCAAAGGTTCAGTTGGTATATGGAAATCATTAAAAAGTTCTTAAAGATGCCCCAATGCTGAATAATGTCCCTAACCACTGACAAAGGAGTAAATATTTAAAAATGTTTAGGTATGCTAATACATCTAGGTATTTCAAGGCGAAATGCACACATTATTTGAAGCAGTCGGAAATAAAGCGAACGTCTGATATTTTCCGGAACGAAAAGAATATTTTGCCAGCAAAAACGTAGAAGACATAATGAGTGCTGTGTTCCGAATTTTTAATGCCGACGAAATGAGAAAGAAAACCACTGAAAAGGCGGGATTAGTTTTTGGTCCGAAGAGAAAGTTTTAAATCCTAAAAAAATCCAAAAGGATGGAACGTTCCAATTCTCCTTTAAGAACTAAAGCACGTTTTCAGAACTGTTGAAAACCGAAAATTTAATGGCTTCTCCAATGGAATGATTTATTTATCAGCTTTTAGCAGCAGTTTACGAATTTGCTCAAAGAATTTGCTGATTTTTTCGGCTCGCTTAACTAAAATTAGTGTTACCAAAACTGTTATTGCTTAGGAAACGCTACTTGAATTAATTCTACCTGAGTTGGAGGTTAGATTGCAGATAACTTCGGAATTCAGTCCGAGTGTTTTAACATACAGAAAAAAAAGTATTTTTATGGAAAAGGAGTAAGTGTGCCCGAAGGAAATATTAGTGGGATTGAACATAGGCAGATCATAATCTTATCCGCTTTATCGTCTGTCAGCGTGACGAAATTTGTGTAAAACGAGCTTGGAACTAGCATTTCCAGTGAACAAAAAGGTTAAGAAACACAAAAGATTAAGTAATGTTATTTATTTTGATCATACTGAAAATGTTTAAAAAATCCTGTTCAGATCACGTTTTTATTTTTGAACATGCTAACCGAATATCAAGGGACAAACTAGTGAAGTATGTTGATAAAATATCGTCAGAAATGGACGAATAAACATTAGTTCAATATCTTGATATGCATTTAATTTATGATGAAGCGATTTTGTAACTCGATGGGAATGTGTGGTGAAAACTTTCAGCACTAACTTTGTCCATGGCGGAAACTTTGAAAGTGTTAATTGTTGTCTCAGAGCCCGTCATCACATAACTGCTGATAATCTGTCAATTAGTGTTAGAACACTTTCAGGCCAACACAGTTTTTTTCTTCATCGTTACCACGTACAAAAATGCACATTATGTAAACGTAAACATTGGATCATCCAGCAAGAGTTAACGACTCCAACCGCTTCTTACAGTAACACGCTCAGAATCCGAAATTTAATGGCTACGTTTTATTTTCTGACGAGGTAAAGTTTATGAGAGACGGCATGGTAAAGTGCTCTAATTTCCATCTCTGGAGTGACAAAGGTGCACGCAGCATTGTGGAAACATTTCGGATTCGGAAACATCCAAATTGGTCATTTTGTACTCAAAGAAAGCTCACTGAAGCTATTTTGAATGTCTGCAACAACGCTCAGGTTGTTTATTTATTGTAAAATGTACCTCTGGACATGAAAGACCGCATGCGACATTCACCACGCACCTCCGTATTTTGACCGTATAGTGCCGGTTAGCCCTTAATCGACATTTTTTTCCTTTAAGAGTGTACGGCGGTTTACTCGGAAGAATGATCACTCAAGTGAATGCTCTCTTTGCTTTCCCGCACGTTCACGCAATACAGACAAAATGATATAAAATTGTACGTTATCCGTTTTTTTCCTGAGGGATTGAAATTTGATTCGTCTGTGATCATTAGCTTCAGGAATTGAAATAAAACAGAAAGGAATACATCAGAGTTGGTGGACACAACGAAAGACATTAATAACCAGGTAAAGCTAGTCAATCAAAAATATCGATTTGTTTGAGAGCAACATTGTTTTCTGTCAAATGGGTGGAATAGACAAGTAGATACAAAGTAGGATCGATCGTAAAATTTACAAACATTGAAATTAATCCGAGAACACACTTCCCTATCTTTCTGACCTCCGTATCTGCATTATATGATTGAAGTTCGAAATGCTCTAACAGTAACGCAAAATTTTTAAGCAGTTAGACTGTAGGAGATACTTTAAATGAGTATTTCAGCCTACTTGTTTCAGCCTCCTATGTGTATGGTGCGGTATGTATAGTGCCGAAAAGAAATTTCATATAAGTTGTTCAAAATGTTGTCCATTTTTCTGAAAACAGTAATGCAGTCTATTTTCAAACTCCTCCCTAACATTTCGAAAACTTTACCAGGAATTTACCGGCATTCCGCAATTCGCGTTTTTATGTCCTCAATATCAGCAGGTTGTGTTTTATAAACAAGAATTAGAATTACCCTCTGTGCCAATTTGAGTTTCCAGCACATTAAGCAGATTAAGGTGCAGATCACCTGTCAAGGTTCCTTTTAGGATATTGCGTATATCCTTTTCGAAAAATAAGCGGATTTTTGTCACTTTAATATCAACAATTTTGTTTCGTTAACATTTCCATTTAGCAAAAATCAACATTCTTCGCTGAAACAGATATTCGACAGAATATTATGAATGGCGCTGACTCATAAATTCACAAAACTCTCATCTTCTATCAAAATCATCGTCATACAGTTCTTGAAGGATGTGCATTTTTTGTATGGATACAGTTGATGCATTTTCAGTGCTTTTCTTACAATCTCGTGTAGAATTACAATTCCTGTCTATTCTGCTACTGTCCACAAGGAGTTGGTGTACTCTGTAAACCCCAATTTGAGCTCGCGGGTTATATTACTCACCGAACTCGTTTCAGAGAATTTTACACCAAATCCAGGACATATCTGTGACTTCAATATTTCGATTTACTTCATTGAAAACCACTGCCGTCCTTCAAGCGCACTTTCCAACCTCTCCATAAATGAAAATAATTTCAGTTCTTTCTTGAAGAGAGTATACCTTTCCCACACTTTATGCACATAATAAAAGTTATCGCTTTTATTCAGCCCAAGAATCAAAAACGAATTAACAATAATATTTCTGTTTTGTCTACATCTTTTAAATGTACGGACCATGAAAGAACCTGAAGACCAAACTCTCAATGCGGACAGTTTTAATAGTTGGACTAAAAGCGAAAAAGTAGGATACCACTGAAGAGAGACTTGAATGCCCTTTAAAACTATGTGCCACTTGAGCCCTATCCCATTTAAAGTTCAAAGGGTGACAAATACCCCTCCTAGGGGGTTGAAAAAGAAAGCTAAAAATACTCATTTAAAGTATCCCCCATACAAATAAAATTGACGTGTCATTTTGAATTTTCATATTTTTAACTGCAAGAAAGGTATTAAGGGTGGGAAGTTTTCAAAATGACACCCCGTATATATATATTCATTTATAGATTAATTTTAAATGAAAACACAAGAAAAGAAGAGTAATTATAGATCAGTGGTAGTTGCTTCTATGCCATTAACTTCAGAAAGAATAAAAATTCTAATGGCAAAATTACGCGATCGGGAATAATCTTTGGCAAAAGGCCACTGGCTAATTGGGATGAATATTTCACTTTCGGAAGACAGAATAGTAATTTGATAATAATTGGTTCGCAACTGAATAATTTTAGACTCTTTATGAATCAGAAACTCTTCAGCGTAAATCCATAATGTGCATTCAAACTTTTTTCGCTGGCAATTTTTATATCAATTAGTGCAGTTGCGAACCATTTAAGTTTGGTGTAAACGGTATCCGTGTTTGCGAAATATGCGCCTGCATTCCAACAAACGCTTGAAATTCTGCAAATCGGCAGGATTCATCGAAATGGGGTTTGAGTGCGGCAAGTGTAAAATTAAAATGAAAAGTACTGACCCTCAACACGGATATTTGGGATTATCTACCTATTTATTTCACCTCTATTGTTCTGGATTTGATTATCAATGTATGGAGTTTCAAAAATATTGCGAAAATTTGGCATATATATATATATATATATATTAGGTTATTTGGGCAGTTTAGGAGTTGTTTAGCAAAACCATTAGCCTTAGCTTCAAGTACCTCAGTACACTTAGAAATATTAAGCAAAGTTAATAATAAACTAAGCTAAGTGTTTAGTTTCAGAATAATAAATATTTTGTGACAGACTTATAAAATGTATTTAATCCGTGCCACGTAACTGCTTTGCTAAATTTCAGATTTTATTTTGCCAAATTTTCGCAATATTTTTGAAACTCCATACATTGATAATCAAATCCAGAACAATAGAAGTGAAATAAATAGGTAGATAATCCCAAATATCCGTGTTGAGGGCCAGTACTTTTCATTTTAATTTTACACTTGCCGCACTCAAACCCCATTTCGATGAATCCTGCCGATTTGCAGAATTTCAAGCGTATGTTGGAATGCAGGCGCATATTTCGCAAACACGAATACCGTTTACACCAAACTTAAATAGATATATTGTGTTGTTTTATTTTAGATTCAAAGCAATAGACTCAAAAAGTTGACAAGTTTATCAAAGTTTTAAAGGACGCTCAATTCTCTTTACAATATTAGTTACTACTTTATTGCTTTTTGTCCAGGTTTTTCGAATAATCACCGATTCAAAGATGTAGAAACAATTAAATTTGTGTGCATTCAGATATTGGTTGTCAGCACAGACACCCGGTATATATTGTATTCCTATATATAATAACTAAAATTGAACCTATGCAAGATTGATGCTTACAAGTAATGTATTGAATTATATATGAAATTACAAATCAGCACCTGACTGATCAAAAGTGGTGTAGTCAAAAGTGGCTCACTTGAAAAGCCTTTCACATAGCAATATCGTGTTAATTCTGTTGTATTGGTAATTAAAATCAAACGGACATATAGAGCTGATGCGATTTTCCAGCATAGGGAATCATTTTCTCCACTGGGGAGAATAGTGGCTTGTGGCCCTCCCTACATTCACAAAAGAAAATTTAAAATACCCTACAAATTTTTTACCCAAATCCACTAAAAAGAAACTAACTATATTACTTAACAACTTAAGTGACGAGCTAAAAATTTCGTAAATTCAAATCATTATTCAATTCACAAAAAGCGAAATTTTCTAGTATACTGAAACCACGCTTATTTTCGTTCACGTGGTCATCACGATTTTTTCGACAACTACTGGGCCCTCTGCGTAATAGTCTACTACGTTTCTGAAACAGATCTTCCATAACGATACTATATTATAGCATCATAAATTGCATTACATTTGATAAAATAAGCTTTCGGTCACATAATTTTTAAAGGAAATACGAAATTTGAAAAGTTCTACCTGTTTTTCAGACGTGTTCGGGTCAGAAGGAAAGTAGGATAGAGGAAGAAGACGGAAACTCGGGACTTGGGTAGAACTAGTCAAATTTCTTCATTTTGAACACTTCGATTACCCCTTAGAGAATTGATAAAAATGGAACAGACATAATAGACACATAACATTTTGTTGTATTTGCCCTATTTATTAGTTGTAGTTTTCATTACCATTATTGTTCCGAATACCAAACGACGTCGGGTATGGATTTCATTCATATTCGGCAAGCGTGGGCATTACTAAAGACGTTGGGTTCGCTTACGACGAAGGGAATTGTAGCTTCTGATGATGTGTTGTCCGGATGAATAACAATGATAGTGCTTGGACTTGGATAGTGGAAGACAAAGCGCTTGTAATTGATGTATCGCATACAAGAGAAATAAAACGAAAGATTGGACTACGAAAAGTATCGTCCACATTTCAGCCAATTGGAATTGGATTGTGGAAGCGATACCCAATGTTGAGACCAACAAATCGGAAGAAAAGTATCAGTTTTGAATTGATGGATAACAGAATTACATAATGATATTGAATACATGAAATACACTGCTGCGCAAATTTAACGCTCAGTTAAAATATGCCCTAACTTGCAACTGTGCATATTTTCTTAGCCGATGATCCGATAACTAATTTATGAGATCAGAAAAAAAATTATAGCAACGTATTTTGTAAGTTGTTTAAATACTGTAAGATTTTGCATGTGAAAGTTAAAATCTATCTGCGGTAAATACGGGGTAGCGGGTAGTCCAGAGAGAACAAAGTGCTTGATGAGCCTCATGATTTCTGAGTAATTTGGATATTTAATTGCCTCTTTGACCCAAGCTATAGTAGAGATATATTTTTAATGATCGGTCACATTTTTTGCCCGAAATTTACTAAACTTTTTGTCATTTGCTAAGAAAATTCTGCTGTGCGAACAACAAATAAACCAATAGTTCGGTTTAATTTACCCTCTCCCACCTTACCCTTACCCTTACCCAGTTTTTGTTTTTTTTTACGCCCAAAGATTTTTTGTTGGTTTTGTATCCTTGTTGTTGACAGCTGCAAGCTTGAATTAAATTTTCCTCTGCGTCGCCTTCTTAGGGTGAAAAGTGTTTAAATTTATTTCGTGCGTCAAATGTGACCGGTCATAAAAAATGAATATCTCTCGAATAGCTCAAGATAAACAGACAATTAGGGATCCAAATTGGTCAGAGAATATGAGGTTATTGCATTGTATACTTATTTTCTGCATGAGCTACCCGAAATTTATAAAAGGTTAAAAATATTAAATCGAGTTTAACCCGAAACGGGCTCACTACAATGATAGATCTGTCTTTCTGTGCATATAGGCTTAAGCCTCTATGATTGTAATTAGCACGAAGTATCTAATTAGGTACATTAATGAACTGATATTCAGAGATTTTAAACGCACTTTAGCCAATTGAACCATTAAATAATCTGAAGCGTTTTTATTGTGCCCACATTCAAAACACCAATGATCCAAATCTTCGACGCTGGAGTTTTGAAAATAGAATATTTAATTTCCACTTATATAAAATTCACTCACATCAAGAATTATACTGTAATGTTTTCTAGGTGAACGTTAAAATCTCTCTGCAATACAGTCGATTGGCATTTCAAAACAATAATTCAGTTGTGCAAATGGGCGCTTAAAAAACTGCAAATAAAACTCGCTTTTTGATAACGTACTATTTAGAAGTGAATGTATTTGACATAAAAACGGCATGGTAAATAAACGTAATTTTCGTTACAGTAGTGAGATAAATCTCCACTTGGGTGGTTTAATAGAAAAACATGTGATTGTGCTACATTTTCTTTCGGAAGTTTTTGCGCGATGTTCTGCCTCGGCTTCTCAAATTCGTTCCATTAGACATACGACAGGGGATGTTAATTTGAGCTAGATATTGTAGCAGTACACTTTTAACAAAATATTCGATTTTTTTTACTTTTAAAATTTGCAAGCAAGTTGATTTTCAACAAAGGTAAAGAGGGCATAAACCAACAAACAATTGTTAAAACTCAGCAAGTGTAAAATATATTGTAGTTCGACCTAGTTTTAGCCATACCACCAGTACAAATAACTATCAGTCAAAAACCATGATGTGTTCACATAATCTTTTTAAAAGAAGTTGAAGTTCTCCTTGAATTGTATACGAAATATAATCACTAGTGCATACTCATAGTTTGAATAAAGACAGACCATAGAACTATAAACATACCAAAATATATTTCTCAGTGGATCGCCGTTGGGTTAAAACAGACAAACGCAAAAGCACGTTCAAGCGAAATTAAATAAGTTAAGGAACAATACACTTCATGAAAGTGTTTACAACTGATTCATAAATTACGTAAAATCTTTAGCCGAATACAAAAAATGTGCTCAATCGCTCAAGTTTTGCTCTACAGAAAGTAATGGGGTGCCTATAATTATATTTAAAAAAAATTTCAAAAAATGTTTCAATTGGAAAAAGTTTCCTTAAGCACCTTTATTGGAAAATGGGGGATTGATTTTATAATCATGCATTACTCTGACAAATTGAACTAGACGTAAAAGACTCACCTTCTTTAGTGCTCGCAATAAATATTTTGACCAGCTTTGCGCTGGGCCACTTAAGAGTTTTGTGTCCTTGCAAGATTTCCAAAATAGTTTCATCATTATTCTTCATAGTGATTTCTACTTTTGATATATACAATAAAGGTTACTGTAAAGTTAAATTTGCTAACGATTGTCGATTGAAGGTCTCCCGTCTAAGGTTTCAATTCCAAATATTCTCACGATGCTAATGTTCCCAATTCACCTATTAAATTTTTCCTACAAGAGGTCGTCTATCTGCTGTCATGGAAAGTGCTGAAAGATTAGCTTAACTCTATTCATAACTAGTTCAAGGCTTACCTTTTTAACTTTCAGCAAGAGCGTTTCTCTGCCTCATTATATTCTGGAAATAAAAAAAAACTTATATTAATAGAAAATACATGAAATCTCACGTTTCCAGCTTAATGGAAATTACTTCAGTGCAAGTAAAATCGATACTGCTTAGTGAAATGGCCTTTATATTGAACAATATAATGCCATTAGCTGGGAACTGTTCAATGTCTTTAATCACTAACATCATTTTGGAAAATAGAATTAATATGGCATCTTAGGCAAATTCTATGTGACAACGGGTCTGTTTAGGAGACCAGCAATTTTGCATGGTAAAGATAACCTTAAGAAGTAGTACTAAGCAATTGAGCAAATAAATGTATTTGGGCAATTTTTATTTAGTTTTCAAATATAGGATCGCTCAATATAAGGAAACAGCATTTAAAACGTTTCTTCTATTCGCCCGAATCGCCTCGTATTCGAGGTTAGTAATTGCACATTATAAGGGAACTGCGGAGGCAATATTCAAATACAGCAAAATTTTTCTTTAGAACAAAACCAATTAAATAAAAGCTCAAGTGATTTTTAGCTTGCACCATTATAGTTTTCGTTCAAAAATATATTTCGACTACTCAAACGACGCCTACACCACATATTAAAGGTTGCTTGTTTCAGTAATAATATGTGACTTTTCCGCTCTGAAAGCAGGGTTAAAAATTCAGCATTAAATTTTTCTTTTCAGCGATTATGTTTGCTTAATAGCGGTGAATAAGAACAAAATTGTGTTTTTGGTAACTCAAATTCAGTCCTTAAATAGTTCCATAAATAGGCCAAACGAATTTGTCGATATCCAAATATTATTCGAAAACTTAAAAGCAATGACTACTTTTCACAAATAGTGAACGAAGGTCCCTGTTATTCTGACTTTACTGACTATTAACTTGACTAATTTAGTCGGCGACAGTTTCCTTAATGTTAAAGCTTATTTGATATTATTTGATCGTGGTGTAAAAATAGGTTACCAATAAGTGTTTTATCGTACTCCAACTATCTCTGACCCAGCTGTGGCTGAAGAACTAGTCATTTGGTGATTCTCACAGTCCACGCAGACAGAAGAAAGACAATTTTTGAGAAGCCTTTATAAAATCTGACTACGATGTTTCCGTAAAAAAGATTACACTGGGTCCGCTCGTTTACTATCTACTAGACTCGAACGATTTAGAATCTCGCTGTACAAATTAAACTTGACATATTTTCGACAGTGTTATACACTTTAAGTTTTGAAGAGCACACTTTCAAAACTAACCACAAATGTAACGTTGACATCATTTAAATCTGGGGCTGACTTGTTTGTCATCAAATATCATTCTCATGGATAGCTAGGTTGCGGTTGTACCAATAAATATTTAATATGTTTAATTTTTTCAGATGTAAAGTGTACATCTCCTACCAGTCGGTCTTTTTTTCTCAAACCTTTCTTTTCCCGCACTCTCCAAGCAATCCCGAGTAACCCCTTAGAAGGCATGATGCCAATTTTAAATCACCCTGTATATTGGTTAAAAACTGAATTTCAGACAAACAAAGGCTTTTTACCAAAAAAAGTAGCTTGTTCGAATGGCAGTGTGAAGAATTCGTTCGCCATTTTTGAATCCTATTCTCATAATACATCTATTCATCACAAATAAATGATTAATTTACGTTTTAAAGCGGAATTCTTCAAGAAAAAGCTCAACTCGTATTTAAATTAATTTCGTAGAACCCCGGGGTGCTCACCGCGAATTCGGAAGACGATTTTTATGGAAAACGTCATATACGTTTTATACTCATTTCTACGATATAAGACAATTTTTTTCAATTTTGAAATTTTTGAGCGTGAAAAATTTCACCTTTTGAAATACCGTTTTCAATTTGTCAAGAACGTTCTGGTCGAAACGTTTGTATCCATTAAAGATGTTGAGTGACCGAAAAACTACAGTAATTTCTGTTGACGTGACCATTCGACATGAACAGAGCGTTACCGGGACCAAATAATACTTACCTATTGAAATTTAAACTTTCATACTCTATTTTCACTTGGCTCAATGAAATTTGTAAGAAAAAATTACAAATGATTTTATGGAATCAAAACAACAAAAATAGAATACACTGTTTTCATATAAAAATACTTCCGGGTTTGAGAGTTTTCTCAAACAGTTGCCATATAAATTTAAAATAACTTGCTCTCTTCATCACGAACGCAATATATAAAATTTTAGGTGAAGTAAAAAAGAAGAGGAATAGAGGAAGTACTTATTACCTTGGGTTAATATTTTAAAAGGCAACGAAGAAAATACTCAGTGACTTCATTGGAGAAGCCCTTTTATCTTCAAGAGATTTTAGTTTTCTTGATTTGAATAATCAAGAACAAACAATTTTTCTTGATATCGCTAAGGCTTTTGACCCGAACCTTCAAACACATCTACTTACTGTTTAGAACAATGTGCATTTAGGGGATTCAGGATGATTGACTCATTCACTTGTTAACATTTTTTATATTAGAATATAGGACCGACACACACGATTCCAATATTCATAGTTGGTGTATTGATAATCACTTAGCTTACGGCGGAGTCCATAATATATATTCATGCCAGGTCGCTATCATGGCTATTCATCATTGAATATTGCTATTGGAAACTAGTGATCGATGAGATCGGTTTACTTTTTGTATGATTTTCATGGTCGATTTGGACGTCAAAAATCAGAATGCTTATTGCTATCTGATATATTTTAATTCGAAATTCGATGTTTACATTTGATCAGATTTATAGATGCAATGAGGATTTCCAAATTTCATCACAAGACGTTTCTTCTCGTAAAATAACGACACTGCAAGTAAACAAGTACTCACTCTGCCGATTTATATGTAGTTTAATTTAAGTAATCAATAGATGTGAAGATAACTTCGGTTATCAACTTCAAAAACCCCCAAATTTCAAGCTCATTTTAAGTAGGTACCTATCAAGTAAATGTAATTTATATACGGTTACTCGGATTTAAAAACGGAACGTTTAACTGAAACCAACCTTAATAACTTATTCCGTGAGTTTATTTGCTGGGTCTCAACTTTTTCACATTGAGAAAATTAATATTTTACCATCGGTTTTTTCAAACTTTAAGTTTCAGTAAAAATGTTTTTTTTTGGTGCAGAATAAATGAAAAGACAGGGTAGGGTGACTGGTAATTAACTCATGTATTACCGTACATTTTACAAAAAAATAATATTAGTATGAATTAAAGTCCAAAAATGCTGCGTTATGAAAATACGAAAACGGTGAACGTTAAAAAAAACGATGAAATAATTTACTGGAATAATTTGCATCCAATTTTTAATATTCCAAATCATTGCAAATATTAAATAGTTTTATGCTTGGAGACTAGCGGTTTCACATTTTCTTATGTATTGTAAATTATTTCACGTTAGCCAGTAGAATCCATCAGGATTCGCCTCCAAGTTTATCTGAATATTGAACATTTGACAATTTACTTTAATATAAATTATCTTCTGGGTTTTACAACGCTTTACCCTAAAACCCTCTATAAAATTTTATCGCCGGGCAATAACATCCTGCATATGCATCAAAATATATTTCATATTCTGATAGCAAGTATTCATGGAACAATTACTTAATGTCCTAACATGAATCAAAAAAATATATAAACACACCAATAGCCTTTGTTTGAAGACAAAATGTAATTATTGGGTGTTGGGTACTTGTATGGACTTCAGCTTTGATCTGCTGATATTAAATTCTGCTTCAATTATTTGATCTGCGTTTTATAGCTGCCACCGCGCCCTTTATGTAAAATCCTCGGTTCTTGATATTTGATTGGATGTTAATCTCGGGAAATGAAAAATAACACATTCACTGTAGATATAAGGACGTTTGCAATCCAGTCGTTGACGGAAACACGGCATAGTAAAACATTTTATTTTTGGTCTGTCCCATGTCAAGAACCAAATCCCTTCGTGTTTCCAGAATAATTTTTTATCTGCTTTTTTTTCCGGCAAAAACATCGCTTTCAAAACATGCGCTTCAGAAATACGGCACGGTTCAAATTGCGGCTTTCGCATGAAAAGGATCCTTTATCCCTTTAAATAATGCTTACAAGTTCAAAGCCGTTTTGTAAACCGACAGAAAATCTTGCAAGTGGTCACTTCACTGTTTTCAGAGTTAATTACCCAGTGTGTTATAAAGCATATATATAACTAATGGTTAGTTTAATTATTTAGAAATGATTGAAAGGAAATTTGAATTAATTAGTGAATATTTTGTAGTGACAAAAAAAGTCAAATAGTGTCAAAAACAATTTAACGTCCTTACTGTTATACATTAATAAAATATTTCGAGAGCTGCTGAGTACAAAACAATGCCATGTCCCTAGTTGATGGAGCACTTAATAAAACAGCAAAAAAACTTTAAGTTTGTACATATTACATTTTCATCGATTCCTAGTTGCGTCCCCGTTCTCTAGTTAAAATAAACTGACTAACTTCCGCAACTCAAGCGTTTCTTATTTCGAGTCCCAAAAGCCGCTCCGTAAATTATATGCCCGGGAGAATATCTAAAATATCAACCATTAACTCCCCGCACGAATCCATATAGTGGTCAACAATAGAGCTACTAATGTGGTGAATAGGTTTTCATTGGTTACTTGCTTCTAATATGAGCGAATGCAGGCATTCGCTCAAATAGCAGTTAAAAAGTTTAGCAGCTAAAATAGATAAAGCAGAGTTTATACATTTTATTTTTTAGCTCCATTTCACATGCTTCATAACACCATGTGAAAACTCATCGCATAATGAATAACACACTTTTCTTTTGGTGGTGAATAGACGAAATAACAGTGAAAATTTTGAGCTGAATTTTTAGACAGCTCAACATGTCGAATAAAGAAATATTCGATCGACTTACGACGACTAAATAGATGGAAGTAACTGAGGTAACTGTAACACATCGAATTGGTTTTAAAGTAATTAGTAAGTTAAATTAGTCTTATTAATATTCAATATGTTTTATTACGTCGTCGAGA